AGCGGACGCTTTCCGTGGTCAGCAAAAGTGTACAGCAGTACCCGAAGAGGTGGCATGAATGCAGGTAGTATCCCCAGAAACCGAGGAGCTCCTGGGGGGGGGAGGGGGGGCTGCGGACGGGTTGAAGTCTCTACGGCCGGAGGGTGCAGAATAGGGGAAATTTTGACAGGTGGACTACTGAGCGCCGGGACATGGGTGTATACTTGACCATGCTGCGGCGGCGGTAGTTGATGACTCATGTCGGCTGTCGAAGAAATTGATCGGTGTTGTTGGTTTGGCGGGAGGCGGTACAAGACATTGATGATGATGGTGCCGTTTGGTCTGTGTTGGAACACCACGGAGAGACGTTGCAAGTGGAGAGGCAAAGGTTTGATGTGAGTGAAAAGGCGTGGCTTGGCCAGTGTTTGGGGAGCACTAGTGGGCTGAGGTTGGTGTGGGGGATGGGGGGAGGGGAGAGGGCCGGGACAGCGAACCGCTGAGGTTGCCGTTTGCGCAGTGTGTGTGTTTTTTTTTTTTTTTGTGCGAGTGGGTGCTTGCTCGCAGTCAGTCGTGGTGTGGCTTTCAGAGACGCGTGGCGATTCTCTCGTGTAAATACAGCCGGATGTTAGGTATGTCAACAGAATGTGCGATACGTTAAACCCATGTGTCCCATGGCCAGGATACCTGGCACGCTGCGGTGGTGCCTCCGGCCGTGGTGTGCGAAGAAAAAAAAAATGTCAAAACATGGTACTGCTGTTTGTGTGGAGCTTGAGGGGCAAAGGAGCCCATCTGGTGCGGCAAGCGTATGGTATCGTGCTATCCGTCTCTTACCCCTGGCCTATTGGGGAACGGGGTGAGATCACGTGCTCCTGGTTGCCCGGAGAAAACATCGCTCCTCAGCTGGCAGACGGAGATTATTGTTGTTGTGTATGGCGGCTTCAAGGAAGTCTGTGAGGTACTTCGCACAGCTAGACAAGCTAGAGGAACCTTTTTTGGCCCAGAACTGGTCCTGGCAGATGGGTGGGTGCCGAAGTCGAAGAATGTGGACCAGGGGGTTAGTGCCGAGTCCTTCGGGCAAGCTGCAGTGATAGGACTACATGCGGCGGAGGTGTTGATGATGTTGTTTGTATACCCGCCGCGAGGGACGAAGGCTCCAGGTAGAGTACTGCTTATTATAGTTGATCCAAACTTGAGTGAAAATGAGGACGCGATTAGAAACGGAGGGGGATATAGGCAGAAACAAGCTCGGAACTAGATACAAAGTTGCCGCGTTGTCGTGTGCCCCGGCAACATTTTGTGCTGATCTTATCGTGTCGTTTACTACCGCCGCCCGACGTCACCTACCCCCTACGATCGTGGTGGCCCGTGACACATCTGTACCATATCTTGGGCGAACTCCTACGCGGGTGCCATTCGCAATTATGATCGGCACGCCTCGTCAAAAAGGGAGTTCCCAACCCCCCTGCCGTCCACCGGAGACAGACATGCAGGAATCGTGTGAGTTGGCGGCGATCGTTTAGTTAGGCCTCTGGTTACGTGTGGAAGCGATCGCCTTCCGGCCAGCTTGTTTTGTTTTTTGCTGCTCTGTGGCGGCCTTCAGGAGAATATGATTTCTATCTTCTCATCTTCTTGTCTCGAGACCACACACAGCTATTTACACGCTCGCCCATGCTACAACGTTGAACAAAAAAACATACGCGGACGGCTTTGGTCACCCCTGCTCCTCTCTCCCTGCCCAAGAAACCGCCACTGCTGCCGTCATCGACGGCTAGTTTCCGCAGGACCTCCCTCCTCTTCCTCCCCACCCTCTCCGTCACCAACACAACCACCACCAACAACAACACTACGAGCAATGGCACCGACAGGCGCAGTAGAAGCAGCGTCAGTCGCAGCAGCGGTAGTAGCGCCAACAGTAGTTGCGCCGGTCGCGTCCCCACCGGCTGCAAGCAGGGAGGGATGCACCACCGTGCCGGGCGGGGGTCCGGTGGAGACTCTCGGCCGCGCGTCGAGGTTCTTCCTGGGGAACTGTATAGCAGGGGTAATCCACGACCCGCCTGCGTTAATTCGTTCGCATTTTCAGGCAACAAAACAATACAACACAGAAGAGGTGAGAAAGCCAGAGGAACGGGAACAAATACGAGGGGGGGTGTACTCTTCTAAACGCATGCCGTAGACGTTAGACCATTGACCTCCCATCCCTGCAAAGCCGGGACGGCGCGACAAACATGAGGGGGGGGGGGTATACTTTGCATGCCTTAGCGGCTAGACCACTGAATACGAGAGGACTGAGCATTGTTCCCATAGGACCGATCACTGATGGCCAGTCGTTCCTTCCTACTTTGCCAAAGATGGCAAAAAAATGTGTTCCCTAGCCTATCGGCATCACGAGGGGGGGTTAAGAAACAAATCGTGGATTAAGAAAAGTCCAGAGGATGGAAACACCGCTTGTGCGGGTGAACTCAGAGGCTTGGGGCGCAACAATCAGGGATACGCGTGCATGGACTCTGCTGCAATGCAGCTCTGGCCCTAACCCAATCGACGAGAAAGATAGGGATGAGAGATCTCCCCCGAAAGACTATCGTACGCAATGCGCCATCATAAGCACCCCCCCCCCCCCCCTCTCCCTCTCGTAGTTTTCGCACATGAACACTGCGCCCCCGTCCACTTCAGTGAGCCTAGCCGGGCCCCGCACGCCTTGTTCGGGCAAGACAGCTTTCCTTCCATCTCCCCCGCCTGCTGCTTCATCCTGCGCCAGAAAAAAACAAAACAGCAAAAAATGTGGCACACACAAAAAAAGAGGGCCGGGTCGTTCTCGGTGTTGCTCGTGCCGTTGATGCAAAAGCCGAATCGCGTTGAAAACGGTGGCGTTCTACATCACGGCACGACGTTCTAGCGAGAATCTGGACGCCTTAAAAGTAATAGTTGGACAAATTGCGCAGACACACAAACCTGTTCTTCTCTCGTCTCCCGGCTAACTTTTGCGATCTGCTGTCACGTTTGAAGATTGTATTTGTCCCTCTTTTCCCGTTCTTTGATTTCTATTGGTCTTGTGTGCCGTTTGTTGGCGTGTGACCACGGAAGGCGCCCGCGTCAGGTGGACCGGTGCGGATGCTAGAAGGTACGAATGCTAGAAGGCACCGAGCACAGACCGGAACGGTTGTTGATGTGGACATGGCAACAAACAGCAACACCTAGAACCGTCCACCAAACGATTCCAAGTCGGTTGTCTCCAACGCGTTTCCAAGCCATTGACCCTCCCGTGCGGCGCTGTTGCCGCCGTTGAACTTCGCAACCTTACCTATAGCACGCGATTTCCATCAGATTAAAACAAGCCGTCAAATACTTTCAGGTTTAGGTTTGTAGGTGCACCATCTCCCGTGGAAGCCCAACAAGTAGGTGTGCATCATCTCCGCCGCTGTTGGCGTTTCATGCCCCGTTGTCCCCAACCGCCGTTAATCGTTCACTCACCACCGTTTCGGCTCGGACAGGAAGATGGACGAGCACGGTCCCTTGGATGTTACGCCTTTCGACTGCAGCGAGGGGGGACACGCAAAGGGGGAGGGGGAAGGATCGGGCCCTGCGGAAAGCGCAGCATGGCGCACGGCAGTAGACAGCACACGCGTACCGCATGTTTAGGCCACACTGGCGCTATGCTTCCTACGGGATGGGAGGCAGCTAACGACAAGAAAGCGGGATCAGAGGGAGCTCTCGGCATTCCCAGCAGACCGAAGTCTTGACCGAACTGCACAGAAAAGGCAAGGTCGGGTGCTGGCCAAATTTACTACTTCTTCTACTCCGTATTGTACAGCAGTCACAGCGCAAAACTCGGATGATGTGTTGACAGCTTGACGAGGGCTCCGCAGCTAGGAATCATCGTAGGACCGCTGGAGGAGGAAGAATAGACAACTGTATGCAGCAGTTGACTACGGTTGTACAACGTAGCCTACTGTAAATAAATACGACTGAACCCGATTACATGTTACCGTGGGTGACACGAGATATCATGCCCCCTGGACCCCTCCGCTACAGGTCGATTACTCCACGACGAAGATGTCTGAGTCAAACGACGAGTTTTCGGGAAGCTCTCGGCGAGACGGTTCCAACGCCACCTTTCTCGGCACCGCCACTGTTTCTGCTACAATACTGTCTGCTTAATAATGCGGTAATCAAGCTTCGAGGGTCGTTCCAAGGGGGTGTGATATCTTGTGTCATCTACGGCATTGATACTCCCATTCAACAATCTTGAGCACAGACAAAATCGCGCCGCCGCCGCTGCAGTAGCCGCAACGCCGGCCGAGCAGCAAAGGATAGGAGTCTCTCGTGCTAGTGGGGTGAACAGCGCACGTTCATCGTTCCTCTGGGGTGCCTTACAGCAGTATCGCATCGATACAACGAAATAGGCGTTCCTCAAGCTAGGGGGTGTAATTCCTGCGACGCCGCCCCCTTGTCACAGCAACCACAAAGGTCGCTCCCAATGTGGGGCAAGCTTTCTCTTAGCCCTGAACTCTTTGGTACCTTTCGACGGCGGAAGTTGTGCTGCGCCGCCTCGTGCTTCTCGATGTCCGCGCCATTAAACACCGCGCGTCGGCACATCCGGCAGTTATAGACCACATCCTCCTGATCTTCGGCTGGCTGGTTCAGAGCAACTGCTGCTGCTGCTGCCGCCACCCCGGGGCTAGCATCGAAGTTGCTGCTACCAACACCAGCAGTGTCAACGACATCATCCGCTAGCATAGCCATCCTCCTAGCAATGCTACCTCTGTTCTGGGCCCACCGAGGCAACCAACCCAACAAGTGAAGCGAAGCGAGTAGCGCGCGGAGCAACAAGTGCGGGAGGCGACGCGGTTTCCACCGGTTGCATGGGGTACTGCGATAACTGCTATCTCTCCGCATTCACCAAGTTGTGTGTTACTTGGATCATTATCTACTGCTTGCCGGCGCGATTTTTAGGCGCCAGCGTCAACTACATACACGTACATACATACATCTAGTAGTTTCTGCTGCGACAATGAATGTGATCAAACCGGAGGACTGCAGATTGTACTTTCTTCTTGAAAGGCTACTTGTACAGTAGCCACCAACATACATAGCGTCTTCCTCCACACTTGGCGGGCGTTGGAATTTCGAGACTCTCATTCTGAATTTCAATTTGAATGCCATTTACCGTCATGGGATAACTCGCACGGACGGTGCTGCCCCCGCTTCAACTGCCGCAGCTTTGCCCAGCCGTCGAACTTTGACATAAAACATTTTGCGTATAGGAGGAATGTTGAAAAAACGTCGGTTTTTATGTATCAACAATCAATGCGTCGATAGGGCGTAAATTAATTAATTAACATTCAATGTCACGTTCCGAGGACAAGCCCCCCATAGTCCTTTGCACCTGACATTCTCCCGTCTAATGTTCGCCCCAAAGATAAACAAGTCACAGCCGGGAAATAAACAATCAAGCCACAGCTTGATGCCCGTGGCAGAGGGCACAAAAATCGCTGCATTAACTGATACTTGTACCGTATTCTATTTTCTCTCGCCCCCCTCTATTCCTCTCGCCCCGACTCTATCTCTCCTTCATCCTTTTTCTTTCATTTCTTCTCTCCACCTCCGCCATCCAACCAGCTACTGGAGAAGCCCGAACGACCGCGGGGGAAAGACTCTCAGCAACGCGTGCCCAACGATCTCCCCTTTGTCGAGCTGCCCCCAAACTCTCGAGTCCATCGATGCCGCCGGGTTGTCCCCCAGCACAAACACGCTCCCCGACGGCAGCACCTTCTCGTCCAGCCGCGCTATTCGCTGCAGCACGCTGTCCGGGAGGGCAACTTTCTCCTCCGCGAGTGCCCCACCCTTCGCCGCCGCCACCGCAGCCGCACTCCCCTCTTGCCCCGCGACGCCGTCCCCAAGAATACTGTCAGAATCTCCCCCCGCTGCCCCTCCTCCGTTATCGGCTCGATTCGTCCCCTTCGGCAGCCGCGTGTTACCGCCGCCGCCGCCGGCTGCCGCGCGCACGTCCACCCTCCCGTCCGCGCCCACGGTGACCGTGTCGCCCGACAGGGCGGCCACGCGCTTGACGAACAGGTCGCTGGGGGAGAGGGAGCCCCCCGCCCTCGAGACGATGTCCTGGAGCACCGGGGGCGGCCTGAAGTAGACGATGTCGTTCGGCTTGACGAGGAACGACCGAGAGACCTTCTCCACCAGGACCACGTCGCCGACCTTAAAGCAATAAAAGGCAGAAAAAAACATGGATGGTAAAATATTATCGTGAGATTTGTACATTGCGTTGTTTGTTTGCCGCTGATTCTTGTTGATGTGGGAAGTGGTGGCGGTGGGAATGATTGTGGTGATGGTTGCGAGCTGCGAGCTCGAGGACACAAGACACAACAGATACAGGGGCTGGAAATTACAATGCGCTGAAATAGTACCAAGCCCCCGAGCGCATGCTTTGTCCATCCATCATGTGGCTGATTTCAAATCAAATCCTTCGACACTACACTGTACTGTGCTTGGAAACTTTACTTTTCTGAAACTTCGACAACGAAATCCGCCAAAGTTTCCCACAAACAAGAAATATATTTCAAAATATGGCTTCTATTCGAAATTTCCGAAAGATTCTCGAAGATGTAATTCTTGTCGAGTTATGTCAGTGTTCAGGCACCTCGCACCTTTCCGAATTTCGAAGAAACGTGTTTCGTTTGAAACGACCCAACGGCATCCAAATCAAGCACGAAACACAAGCCCTCCAACATCGGCCCTCTTGCCCCCACCGCCCTCCGCACGGAAAAACGTGCAGCAGCAGCAAAGAGAAAATCCGTGATAGTCAAACAAACACACCTGGAGTGTCGGCTCCATGCTGTGGCTGTTGATCACGGACAGGGTGAGCGCCTGGCTTAGCACGAAGCCCACCGACAGCAGCGACAGGGAGGTCGTGAACGCCGCCCACGCCGTCGCCGCGTTGTACGAGAAGGGCGTCAGCATCACGGGGAACTCCCTGGCGGGGACGCGCACTGGCCAATCCCCGCGCTCCAGGCGGGCGACGAGAGGGTACATCGGGCGCATCGTGAAGACCAGCGAGCCGTCGTCGAAGGAGTCCGGGAGAGCGTCCCTCGCCGAGGCTAGCACGGCGGTGGGCTCGGCGTCGAGATCGGGCTGCTGTTCCTCCTCCTGCTGCTGCTGCTGCTGCTGCTGCTGCATAGGCTGGGGAGAAGAGGAATAGGGTGCTACCGCGGCGGCGGAATCGCTGCTCGTTGGACTGCTGTCGCCGGTGGGAGGTGTGGGAGCGGTGGGGAAGACTGACACCTCGAGGATGCGGTACTCGACGCCCGGATAGATGCCTTGGTCTGCGAGGCGCTGGGGAGAGAGAGAGACGTGGACGTTTTGGAAGCGAAAAAACAAAGCGGAATCGTTTGTTGGGGGACCACGGGCGGCGAACGGGAGGGGATAGTGCACGCGTACGCAGGAAACCCCACGCACCTTTGGGCTAAGGTTTATGAATCCGCGTTTTATTGTTCTAGAGGTGTTGTGCGGAGGAACAGGAAATCTTCACGTCGAAATTAAAGGATGACTTGTTATGGCAGCTTGTGTGTGTGGATACACTAAATACGATGATGTACCGTGGCTGAATCCGAGTACGTGATACTCCGCACTAGTCACGATACTAGGGGTACATAAGGGACATGTGGACGGGGATCCAGAGCGGTCGGGTGCTCCCTTGTCTGTCCTAAATGGTGTCGAAGCGTCGGTGGTTAAGCCTCAAGCTTCGACGAAGAGGCAACAGCTACATTGCATGGAGGCGGTCTCGTGCCTGAGACCTGTCTACCACGCACGCACCCGGTTCTTAGCCGAAATCGCCCCCGTGAAGGAAGATAAACCTGTGAACACTGTCCGCTGTGAATGTATCACGTGCATACTTGTCCATTTGTCGTTTGTATCACGCACCGTCGTGATATTCGAACGCAATGTGACCGTTTGTACGTTAATCTGAGCTCCAACCAAGCCAAGACCCTGTCTCGAGACATCAGCTCGAGAGAGAGAGAGAGAGAGAGAGAGAGAGAGAGAGAGAGAGAGAGAGAGAGAGAGAGAGAGAGAGAGAGAGAGAGAGAGAGAGAGAAAAGAATGCAGCTCAGGCCTCCGTGAGGTGTCACGCTCGCGAACAGAGAGCGGAGACAAAAGGTGAGAGTTTAAGGCTTTCGAACGCTGCTACACAAATATATTAGTACGCAGAGCAAAGCTGGGTCGCGATAGCATCTTGCCACCCGATTGCCCCCGATCCTCGACTAACGGCCCGAAGCGCTCAATGACTCGGCACGCCCACCGCAGCGCGCACATGAACCAAAATAATACTTGCCTGCCGAATCCCTCCCCACCCGTCCCTCGCGCCTATCACAGGCACCACCACGTCTCCGGCGGCCGCGGTTCGTCGAACATTCTTCGGAACGGAGAACACTCTCTTCAGGAATCCCGGCGGCTCTACCGACACCCCAATGGCGTCGTCGCCGCTGCCGCCGCCGGCTCCTCCTGAGGAATCCTCTGGTATCAGGACGTCCCCGAGAGCTCGCTCTTCTGGTCTCTGCGGGCGGCGACGAAAATTCCGAAAGCGACACGACAAACGTCCATTTCGGAAGGGGGGCAGTGATGAGAGACGGGGTCGGGGGGCGGGGGTGTCCTACTGTATTTTTCCCACGCTAAGTCGTCATGGGAACAGCAGCGTAGAGTGAGTTTGGTATCGCTGCATGGCGCGGAACAGGGCATCCTCTTGAACGGACGGGGGCAGGGAACACCAGCACTAGTACACAGGACGCGTAGATGCCAACCAATGCGGTGTGTCGCGTGCTGCACGCGCAAACGTCCTCCCGATACTGTGAGCTTTCGGGAGATCCTCACGCCTAAACCGAGATGTTCTTATCCTGCGGTCTCCGCGTTTTCGAACTCCGTTCTCATTAATTGCGGCAGCGGTATACCTAATTTGTTTGCTTGGCGTTAACAATGACGTACGGGGTCTCCGGGGGCTACGTGGACGTCAAGTGGGTATAATAGACCTGACCAGGAGCGAGGCTTTTCTTGCCTCGCCCAACTACTGTAACTCGGTAAACTCGATAGTCGGAACTTAGACGGAAATTGAGCCACTCTTCTCCGGAGCAAGTTTCTCTGGATGGGAGCCCCAATGTGTGATGACAAGGTGCTTGCGCCAGCATCCACGATTTTTCCTTACTTGTAGCTCGGAACTGAGCACCTGGGTCAACCTGGCCAGGTTCCTCTCAAAAGCGAAAAAGTAGCTGCAATTTTTTTGGGTGTGTTCTGCTGCATGCACCATAAGCGCACGCACCATCGTAACGAACTGCCGAACAGGTTGAAGTAGGTTTTTATCCGAACTCTACCAAACCTCAAACGGGAAACGCCAAGAAAGTCGATTGCGCCTGACAAACGAGCTGAGCAAATACGTGGTAGGCGCTTGTGCACCAGAGGTCGTCTCAGGCTCTGTGGCAATCAATTCCTGTCTGTTGGTCCACATTTTTCAAGGGTAGCATGTCAAAGTGATTGCAATAACCTTTTCGAAAAACATCATGGCTGACCTTTTCGAAAAGCATTGCCAGTGCCGGTGCCCTTGTTCGTTGCCGTTGATGAAAGTTGCCACAACGCCGCCCGCGCCGCATCCGCTGATGCTTCCAACTGCTGCTGCCGTATCCGTCTTCGCTCCAGACACTGGGCCGACCCCGGAGGACTGGTTGGTCCCACGAGAGGGAAGCTTGCGATAGGAACGACAACGAATCGACGGAGACGATAAACACGGCCACACCAGCAGTGGCATCACACTTGTGCATGGAGCAAGACCGTGGGGGGTGCGCGGCTGCAGCAGGACAGCGCTACTGCTGTACATAAACCAAAGGGTAAAGAACAGAGAAAATGCAGAGCAGGTGGTGGTGGTGGTGGTGGTGGTGGCGGTGGTGTAGCGTGTAAGGAGGTGAACATGGTCGCTATTCAGGGCAGGTCGCTATCACCGGTTTGGTAGCTGTTGGTCGGGGTGCAGCAGCAGCGGTGCCACGCGATTTTGTGGGTCGCTTTCTCATAAAAAGGGCATGTCGCCTACATATGTAGACTAAGGGGTCCGGTACTGTAACACACCACAATATACACCGACCGGGTAACTGCTGCAACATCGAAATTCCCCTTTTACTGTTCACCAAAACAAAGCCTTGTGGCACTTTACTACCCTACTGCCGAGTGGCAGGTGCGTGGCGACTTCGCGCGGAACGTAACACTGGAACGGCCAAGCATGTTATCACATACGTGGCAGGTGTCTTTTGAATTCAAAACAGGTGACGACCTACGAACTGCTCCAGCTACTACAGCAGTAGTCTACAACATACCTGTGGGACGCGGAGAGATGAGCGCTCTGGCGAAGTGCATGTGTGCCAGCACCATTAAGGCAGCAGGCACTAGCTTAGCGCAAGCCCCGTACATGGTTTCGTGTCGAACGCACAGCGCGAAGGAGAGTCCTCGGTCGGGCTTGGTCGGAGAGGACAGAAGCAGCGGCGGTTCTCCGAAACATGCGATCGGAGATCTTGGTGCCGTCGGTCTGCACTGAACTGTCACCTCTTGCAACTCGCCGCATTTTGCCTTTGCTTCATCCGCTCATGTCCCACTTTGCCCCACTTGGCTGCATGGCTGTACGCATCAACAGGCTGCCTGTACGTATACCATAAGGCTCCCACCCCCACAGACTTTGCTTAAGACAGGATGGCGATCGACTTCCCGATCCCTCCGTTGCGCCGCTTTCTGTGGGATCATCTCTCCGAAATCGTCTCCCCCGATGATGTTGTTGGCAGCAGCAGCTGTGCGCAAGGAGACCACGGACAACAACAACATGCTTGGTCGCCTCACGGCCCCGGGAGCGACGGCAGCGGCGTGAGCGGCACGTGGGCAACCGGCATGGGGCACGAAGGCTTCGACGGCTTCCGAATCGAGCTCAAGAAGTTCTCGAGCGGGCAATCGAACCCGACCTTCTTGCTCGAGGTTCACCTTTCGCCGCCGCCAGCAGCGGCAACATCAACAACAACAACAACAACAACCAGCAGCAGGGCCAACAACCAAAGAAGGTTCGTTCTCCGCAAGAAGCCAGCGAGCGTCACCGTCTCGTCCGCCCACGCGGTCGAGCGGGAGTTCCGCATCCTCCGCGCTCTGCGGCTCGACCCGGCCTCCGACGTCCCCGTCCCCCGACCCCTCCTGCTCTGCGAAGACCCCGCCGTGATCGGCACCCCCTTCTACGTCATGGAGTTCGTGCAGGGGCGCATCTTCTCCGATGCCGCGCTCCCGGGCCTGGCGCCGGCCGAGCGGGCGGCGGCGTACGAGAGCGCCGCGGAGACGCTGGCCAGGCTGCACCACGTGGACTTCGTGCGGGCCGGCCTGGGAGGGTTCGGGAGGGGCGAGGGCGGGTACCTGGGGCGGCAGGTGGCCACGCTCGAGAGGGTGGCTGCGAAGCAGGTACTACTGTAGGTGTGTTCGTGTGTGTGTTTTCTTGCAGTAGCATCGACCCCGCTGCGCTAAACTGGCCGACCAATGAAAAGACGCCAGCCCTACGCTATGCATACAACCGGCCGACCGATGAAGAAAGACGTCGCGCAACCGGCTGACCAATCAAATGACCCCCCGTCTTCTTGGTTGGACAGCGGGATAAAAAACCGCGCTCTCTCTACTCAGAAGGGTTCTTACGACGACAGGGGGTGCGCAGGAGTTGAACGACAGCAGTGTCCTGCTTCTGAAGTTCAAGGGAGAAAGAAGACTCACTGCCACCAAGCAACGTTGTTGTTGCTGCGCTGGTGTCTGCTTGCGTGCCTGCTTATGCTTGCGTGTACGTAGCAAATATTGACTGGTAATGCTATCGTTCTACGCGGGGAGCCGTACATGTAGTACGTAGAAACAAACCCTCGTGATCGTGATCTGCATCCTGGCGATGCAGGCCACATCGAGTGGTTGGCTGGGGTTGTCACGGCCGTTGGTCTGGGCGATGTACAGAGGTCATGAGCGCGAGGGGAATTCGTACGTGCCACTTTTCTCACACCAAACGCTGGCATTTTGATATTCCTATACTGCGAAGGTATACCGTGTTACCCGACGGGATGACGATCGAATCTTCTGGTTCACACATGCATCGCTTGTGGGCAATCTACCACGTTATTTGACCTGACCCCCGGGTTTGCTTTTTTTTCTCCAATCGTAAACTAAAGGACGGCACCTGAAATCGACGGGTGCGTTTCCCTTTCCCCGCTGTTCTTTGCTGGAATACGAATCCATACCGCACCACGTAGGCGGAAGACGCAGGGCCGATCGAAGGGTTCGATGGTATCGTGCGAGACCTGCGAGAGCTCATCGCTTCGGGAAGCGTGGTCCAGGACCGTGTTGCAATCGTCCACGGCGACTTCCGAATCGACAACCTCGTCTTCCACCCGACGGAGTCGCGCGTCATCGCCGTCCTGGACTGGGAGCTCTCGACGCTCGGCCACCCCCTGGCCGACCTCGCGAACCTGTGCATCTTGCACCACTTGCCGGCATCGGCGGTGGCGATAGCGTCGGCAGCGGCAGCACCAGCGGTAGGGGCATCGAGAAGGGCCGGAGCAGGAGCCGCTGCACGCGCCGGGTCAACGGAGAACAGACGTCCGTCGACCCTGTCTCCCCCTCCGTCTACCACGTCTCCGCTCGCGGGGTTGAAGGGGTTAGACCTCAAGGCCCTCGGGATTCCGCAGCAGTCGGAGCTCATGGCCGCCTACCGAAGGGCTGCTTCCACTCTCGCTGACGGCGGTAGCGGTGGCGGCGGCGACCCTACTAGAGGGGTGGCCGGGCCGGGCGTAGCCGAACTCGGCCTCGCGTTCGTGTTCTTCAAGATGGCGGTGATCGCGCACGGGGTCAAGGCCCGACAGTTCCGGGGCGTGGCCAGCTCTGCCCAGGCGTCCCTGGTGTCCGCCATGGTACCAGCGATGGTCGCCCTCGCCAAGGAGCAGGTTTCGAACCTGAGGCGTGTCCTGGCGGCCGGCGGGGGTAACGGCGGCGGCGAGGATAGCGGCAGCGGCGGCGGCGGCGGCCGAAAAAGGGGCTCGCCGCCGCCGCTCGCGCGGCCAAGGGCGGTATTTTTCGACGTGGGCGGGGTCCTCTCCGAGTCTCCGTTGCTGGCGATCCTGAGGTTCGAGAAGGAGGCGCTCCTGCCGCCGTCGTACGTGGGCGTCGCGATCGCCGCCGCCGGCCAGGACGGCCTATTCCAGAGGCTGGAAAGGGGCGAGGAGCGGCTGGGGGACCGGTTCTTGGAACGGTTCGAGGAGTACCTGGTGGGCGACGAAGCGAAGCGCGCATACGTGGGCTGGTGCGTCGCGCGGCGGCGGTGGCGGCGGCCGACGATCGGCAAGGACAAGACGCCGTCGTCGTCGACATCCCCAGCGGGCGGGAAGGGGGGGCAATCTTGTGCAAGCTCTGCGCCCCGGGCATCGACTAACGTCGCCACTCCGAGAGAGCGCGGAGGAGGAGGAGGAGAAGGAGGAGAAGGAGGAGGAGATGCCGGGCAGGGAGCGAAAGAGGAGGCGGAAGCAGCGGTAGCGAGCGTCGTGGCTGTGGACGTGCGGGAGCTCTTCCAGCGCATCACGGCAGCGGCGAGAGTTCCGGTCCCCGAGATGATCGATGCGGCGCAATCGCTGCGACGGCAAGGCTTTCTGGTGGGCGCGGTGTCCAACGACTTCCTGGTCGAGCGGGGGTTCGCTCTCGGCCGACCACGGCGGCGTGACGACAAGCCGGGGGTGCGCGCAGCCGAAGCTGCAGTAGCGGCGGCGGTGAAGGCCGAGGCCGGCGGCGGCAACGACGGCGGCAGCGGTAGTGGCGGCGGCGGCGGCGTGTACTCTCGCCTCCCCGACCTGTGCGACGTGGTGGTGCTCTCGAGCGCGACCGGCTCGCGCAAGCCCTCCCGAAAGATCTACGACGACGCCTGCCGAGCGCTCGGGGTTTCCGCCCCGGAGGCGGTGTTCGTGGACGACATCCGCGAGAACATAGTCGCCGCCGAAGCTCTGGGCATGAGGACGGTGTGGATGGCCTCCGGGGGATCGATCGCCGCCGCCCTCTCGGAGTTGGAGGCGGTCACGGGGGTGAAGTTGGCTGCTGGCGGGGGTGTTCGTCGACCCCCTGGCAAGCTTTGACTTGCTTGCTGCCGCCGTTAAATTCTGTGTCTTGGTCCTATCGCATCAGGGCGATGAGACATATCCCCTCGTTGGGAGGGATGGAATGGTGGGAGTTGTTCCGTTGGAGATGGAATGGATTTATTTGGTTGACGCCATTTGTTTGCTAGCCCTGGTTATTCACCTCTTTTCCCTCGCAATTTATTGTACACGCAGTCACCACCTGGTCGAGGAGACGACCCTTGGGCTAAAGTCAACTTACTGCTGTGTCTTTCGTGCTCTTGGTTGATTTCTGCTTCAAGAGACTGGTCTTTGAGTTGGCGCGTGTGTTGCCCACCAACAACGCGCACATGTCGCACATGGGAAAGAAATCCGAACAACCACCTGCGGATGAGAGAATGCGACCAAGTGCAACCCTGACGCAGGAGGAAGGGGGCGACGGTACCCATTTTTTTTTTTTGTGTGTACCACTTATCCGGTATCGATTTCCGCACAAGAAATCCGGCCGCAGGTCCGCGATCACACTCTTAACAAACCATACAGCAGCAGTAGAGGCATACTACACCCGGACGGAGCCGTGCCACTCGCGTATACAACGACACCTTTAGACACAACCGCATTTCCGGGGGGTGTTACCTGGGGCAGCAAAACGTTTTCCTGCGATACGGGTGCCCCCCACATCAATAATCTACTGCAAATGTGGGAGGCGCGAGGGACCCAGGCGGTGACAGATCATTTTTGGCCGCATCGAAATGTCAGGGTCGCATGACTCTGGAATAATACACCGTCAGGCGGGAAAAGTCATGCGCTAGAAAAGAGTAATTACTCCCTCACATCACGCGCGGAAGACAAACGAGATCGTACACACAACTCAGTGTTGCTCTTCTACAATAATAACCCTGCGCGCAGGCGTGCAAGCTTCGTACCTTCGCTTTGCTCGACTCGAAATCGCGCTACTACTAGTCTACCTAGGGGCAAATTGGAGATAAAAAACATGAATGATGACATCACACTCAAAACTGCACAGAGCGACCACGGTTTGGTTGGTTTCGATCACCAAACGCACTACACGCAAACGATGGAATAATCCAATAATCGATACCTGTAGCCGAGGTGGCAATAATCTGGACTGCACTGCAGAGAGAGCTTAAGCTAAAAAAAGAACGAAAACTTGAACAGAGTCCTGTGTACGAAAAAAAAAAAGTGCTCTGCACGCGTCTGTCTCGGAGCCCTGATTCGCCCCCGCCCCCCCCAGCGTCTATACGCTACCGCATGCAAAACATGAGAACGCCCCTTCCCTCCCAACCAACACGCAGCGCAGTCGCAGGCTAAGCTCTATCTAGCGTCCTCGACGACGTTTACCCCGGCGATGAAGTAAACCGGGACCGTGAGCACCAGCGACGCTCCCAGGAACCAGGTGAAGTACTTGAGCCCGAACCTGCCGAACCTGCCCTTCACCTGGCTTCCCGTCCACGTGAGCACCTCCTTGACGCGAGTGTACCGCAGCCAGCCGGTCATGTACGTGAAGAGCGTGCACGCGACGAAGGCCACGCCGAGGGCCATGGCCGTCGAGTCCATCGTCGCGGACCCCATGTCGTCGGTCAGGCTGATGAGGGACAGCGCCACCCCTAGCACGGACAGCGCCGTGCGCACCCACGCCAGCCACGTCCGCTCGTTCGCCAGGTGCGCGTTCACTCTTTCGAACTTGAGGAGCTCCCCCCGGAACTCGTGCGCCGCGCCTACCCCGCCCCCTACCCCCCCCCCGTCGCTGCCGCCGCCGATGCCCCCGGCCGAGTCGTGCGCGGGCTTCGCATCGCTGTTCTTGTTGTTGCCGCTCTCACCGCGACCGTAGAACCCGTTCCCGCTCGACTCCGCACGTCTCCGATCGTTGTCGCCGCCGCTGCATGCCGGCACGGCAGTCGCGTCCACCGTTAGGCCGTCCGGCAGGGAGTCGCTGACGGCGAGGGCGCTTCCATCCTCGGGGTCTCTGACGACGGCAGGGGTGCCCCGCGGGAGCCGGAGCGCAAGCTCGATCGTTCGCGTTATGGCCTCGTCGCTCGCCCCAGCAAACCTGCGTGGGTTTGGTTTGTCGTCGGGTGTTTGGGATGCATCGGGGGCGGGGGGTGAGGTACTCATGTTTTGCTGCCCTAGCTGTTAGCACATACTGACCACGCATCCCTACAATACCGGGACGTAGGGATACGCGGTTTTGTCGCCGGCCCAGGCTACGTGCAACAAGGGTGAACCAGAAGCTGGTCATCATCCTTGTATCGGAGGGTAGGGGCGGGGGGGGTACTCATGTTTTGCATGCCGTAGTTGTTTGACCATTCGAGTGAGAAGCAAGGCGTGCTGGCTTGGGTACCAAGACGCCCTCCGCGTGTAACTCAAACTTTGAACCTTGCGGGGTTAAGGTATTGGTCTGTTTTGTACTTGCACGCGCCATTCTGCCTACATGAGAGAAGCGGGTGGGGGAAAGGGATCCGCCCCGCGTGGGTGCTTAGTAAGCCTAAAACAATGTACACACTCAACCCCAAGGCCGCAAAGCCGACCAGGCCACGGGTGTGATGTGTAAGGGTAGAGCTCGCCAAGACAGAAGGGGTTTTATCGCGGCTGCTATGCGTATTACATCTTATTCGTTAAATAGAAGTACCAAGTATCATTTGTCGTCCGTGATTGACGTTGTGAGAAAATCTCTTCGCAAGCTGCCCGTGGAGGGGGTAGCCCTTAACCCTTACCCTTAACGACTACTTCTACATTGTACAAGCCAAGGGCCAAAAGCGACGACACACCTCGCCGGGACTCGGTTTTCCCGACCTTTTGTACAGTTTTCCCCGTTGCTGCTGTACCATAGTTTTCCCCATGTACAGCAGCAACGGGAAAAAAAAAAACTAGGAACAAGCCGCGCCGTGCTGACAATCTCGCAAAAAAAAAAAGGCGGAGCCTGCCATAGTTTTCCCCATGTACAGCAGCAACAGGGAAAAAAAAACTAGGAACAAGCCGCGCCGTGCTGAGGCCACTTGTTAAGCTGTCCTTTTTTGGGCTGTCCCTTTTCTAAAAAAGGGACAACTGACCAAGAACCACTTGTTAGGTGGTCTTTTTTTGCATTTTTGAACCTCCCGAAAAGGGACAGCGAAAAAAGATCGCCCCATCCTGTCCCTTTTTGGGCAACTTTGTGACAGGATGGGACGGTCCTTTTTTGTTGTCCTTTTTTTTCTGTCACAACACATGACACTTGCCCACAAACTTGAATATCTCGACGGATGATCCCCGCAAACTCTAACGGTATTCGCACGAGTCGTGTCATGTGACTGGTACGGAGTCAGTAGCCTCGGCGATAGACGTAATGTTGTCATTCGGCTGACCAGGTGGACAACCCGATGTGTGCGGCAAACAAGCGGCAAACGAGCCGAAAGAGCCTGGACGCAGCAGCGGTGGGTCTTTTTGGTGCACAGTCAACTTTTGCGAACCCAACTTCTGGGCGACCTATAGCGTCCTGGTCTGTATCAATCACCACACAAGACGAATCAGACGCACAGCTCATGGCGGATACCTTTGTCATCGCTGTTGCTTCGGTGTGTGACGAGGGAGCATCGATGAACCAAAGTTGCAACACGGGGAAAAAGAACAAAAAATATGCTTGGAGACGCGGCGGGTCATTTTTCCCGCTTGTCCACCACTCTCGGGCTCACAACCTCTGACCGCCCGTCAGCCTTCTGGTCTGTATCAACCACCACACAAGACGGACCATACACATAGCTCGTGGCGGATACCTTTGTCATCGCTGTTGTTTCAGTGTGTGGCGAGGGAGCATCCATGAACCAAAGTTGCGGCATGGGCAAAAAAGAGCAAGCAAAGCTGGTTGTTGGCGCGGTGGGGTTTTTCAAGGTGCTGTTGACTCTCGCCACCTCAGTTGCCGTGCTTCCCACTGCCCTGTGGTCTCGATCAGCCGCCACACAAGGCGGACCAAGCACCCAGCTCGCGGGGGATAGCTTTACAGTGGCTGATGCTTCGCTCTGTGCGGAGATATCACCGAAAAACCAACTCGGTGCCAAGGTACTTATTGTGTGACGAACGGCCGTTGCACTTGTTGTTGCAGGGTCATTTTTTTTGGCGGATGAGCAAAAAGGATCGACCAGCACCGTAACAAGTGGGTCATCTTTTTGCTAGATTCTTTTTTGGTTCGTCCCTTTTTGAGAAAAGGGACAGCCCAAAAAAGGACAGCTTAACAAGTGGCCTGACAGTCTCGCAAAAAAAAAAAGGCGGAGGCTGTACTTCGAAGTAGCGTTTAAGCAAGACCCAGTGTTAGAGAGAAAGGGGCACAGAGAGAGAGAGAGAGAGAGAGAGAGAGAGAGAGAGAGAGAGAGAGAGAGAGAGAGCCAAGGCCCCCAACGTTACAACTGCCCGAAGATCAACGTTTTCCAAGTGCCTGGTACAATTGATACACGCCGTCGAGAGAGTGTGCAACGCTGTCTCGCATTTCACCTCGATGACTGATGTTGGTGGCGTCGTCTCTCCCCAGTCAAACCAAACGCTCCGCGCAGACACCAATATTCCCTATTGACATAAAAACAGCGGTGCTTACGCCCGTGTGCGACCCGCTTACGGACGGACCGGTAACAACCCCTGTCAGGTGTGCGCAAGCACCTAAGCGGGACTCGCACTGCTGCTGTACATGAGGCACTACCGTAAGCAGTACCGCAGTACCATGGTCCCAGCTGTTTCCGGAGCGAATGATCACGATCACACTCACCACGAAACCGCGTGTTCTCGCCCCTCGTACCGCACGGTGATCGCCTTCTTGCTGCCGACATCCAGCGTCCCCCCCGTTCGATGGCGAAGCGACGACATCTGCCGCCCGCTTGGTGGGAACCAAAACCGTGCCTGCTGCTGTCCCTCTCGGGTTGATGTGATTGACCCCCGCCCCAACAACCCGTAGCTGCGGCAAGATTCCCAAGCACGGACGGTGGTCGCTTGGATCGTCCTCTCTACACCCCTACTTGGGTCTGATTGACAGCACTACAAGCTGAGGGAAACGGTCCGAGCAACGAGCCACTAAATCGCTAGCGGTATCGATGTGCTGCCTACGGTGGCCCCGGTGCAAACGCGAGAGCACTGCCGGTCGACAACTGATGTGACACAAGCTTGTCGTTCGGCGGCTCCACCATGATTCCGCGGACCCCCCTCCCCCGCGCAGTAGCCAAAAACCGTGCTCGCGCACTCCTCGCGCTCTCGCGGTCACCACCCACCCTTAGGCATATATATAGCTGTCTCGGTACCCGAAGGAGTTGAGGGACGAGGAAGGTTTGGGTATATCACAAACCAATTCCCATTGCTTCCGCTGGAGGCAGGGAAACAGCCCTCTGTCGGCTGGGCAAACACCAAGTCGGCCAAGCAAACGCCATTTGGAGAGAGACCCAGGCCGGCGGAGATGGCGCGGCGCAGCGTGACGATCGTTGCCTCGGACGGAAGGCGAGAAGGGATATCCTGGTGAGACCCGCCGCCCCCAGAGGTTTCGGTGTTCCACCACACGGCAGCCGTTGTAGCAGCCGTTGTAGTGGTCGCGGATGTGTCTTGTGAAGCTGCCTGCTGCGGTGCGATAACGTAGGGGGCGAAAACAAGTCTCTCCGCATGTTGTTCATGAATGAATGTCCTTCAGCACTACACAGCAGGATTCGACGAAATATAGCGTCTCTGGATAGGCGATGCATCTATATGCTGTGTTGCGGCCGCGGCGGGGTCGCGGTCCCTCTCAAATCCCCCCGATACTGCTGTTTTTTGCTCAACATTGTGTCTTGGGCAACGCGCACGCAACCAGCCGATCCTCTCCGTCTCGAGCCTGTAAGCCTGTGGCTGAAACGATACAACTGGGTGGTTGTGTGGTTGTACACGAACCACAACGCGTGCTCGTAACCTGCCGCAGCAGTATGTCCGTTCGGGTGAGGCCCAAAGAGAAAAGCAGGTTGCCCTCAAGACGGTTTTGCTTTAGAGAGCAGATTGCCGAGAGACAAAGCACGTTGTAGCGCTTTTATGGGACGCCGTATCACATACCGCACACCGCAGCTTACCGTGGGTTGCACAAGATACCACACACCCTGGACCGACTTTCAAAATTCGATTACTCGGCAGGGAAAACAGCGACGGTGCCAGAAATGGCGGCGTTGGAAGTGTCTCGTCCAGAGCGTTCCCGAAGTGAATTATTTGATTTCGGCATCCTCTTCGTCGTGGAACAGTATGTGGAGGTTTTATGTTCGATCTAGAGGGAATGGTATCTTAGGATCGGGTGCCGAGTACCCCTAAGCCGGATGTCACCCCGCACCACCAGCGTTTGTGATGCGACATAGCAGTAGCTCCCTTTTCTACCTTCCCTCACAGCCCGGCCGACGCCGCCGACGAAAAACAGGTACGACGGGGCGACAGAAGCGGCGGTGTTGCGCTGCGCGCTCCTGGCCCTTGGCCTCCCGCTAAAGAGCGCCGCGCACCTGCTCTGGCAGTCCGGGGACATCGTCGACCTTGGCACCCCGATCACGGACGGCGCCACCCTTCACCTCGACACCGTCCGCGAGCTGGCGCTGCCGTCACAAGAGGCCGCCGGCGATGTCTACACCAGCGGTGGCCACGACCACGGCGGTAGTAGCAGCAGCACCGCCCAGCGGCGTGTGAACAGCTCGAACACCGCGGTCGGCGGCGGCGGCGGCGGCGGCGAAGGGGGAGTCGCGCCAACCCGGCGTGGTGGCTCGGTCTCGGGAACGGCCTCTGGCGGCGGCGGGGACTGCCGGCAGCGGCCGTCGGCGTCCGAGTAAACGCTGGCGAAGCGGAGGGCG